TTTTGCTGACCACGGGCCTAGGGGATAGGCCAGATCTAGGGGTACATGTGTGGGATGGGTGAGAGGGGTACCTGTGGGTAGGTGTGGGTCAGTGGCAGAGGGAACTATGGTCTAGGGCAGTGGTTGGCAAACTGCAGCTCGTGAGCCACATGCGGCTCTTTAGCTCCTTGAGTGTGGCTCTTCCACAAAATACCGACTTTTGCGCATGGGCCAGGAAGTTTCAATCACACTGTACATGTGCGCCCGCACGTGGTTTTGTGGAAGAGCCACACTCAAGGGGCCAAAGAGCCATATGTGGCTCGCGAGCTGCAGTTTGCCGACCATGGTCCTAGGGCAAAAGAAAAAGAATTCATACACCTTGAAAGGAACTGTGGGCTGCAAGGCTGTGGTGGGCATAGGGATGGGTCTTGGCCCATCCTCCACTCCCCTGCCCAACCCCTCTCACCACAGCCCCCGGTCTCCTGTCTGCTGGCAACCCTGCCCCGCTGCCACTGCTACCACATGATGCCCACACTGGCCCCGCTTGTACCTGCTGACTGCACAGAGCAATTGGGGCCAGTGCTGTCAGCGAGTGTGATCAGTGGCTGCTGCCCTGATAACCCCTCAGGATCAAGGGGTGGTGGAGAAGCCCTGAGGGGCAATTGTGGCCGGTGCTGAGCAGGTGCAAGCGGCGGCTCTGGCTGTGGGTGCAAGTGGGGCTGGTGCTGGCAGAGGATGTCGGTCCGAGGTAGGCCCAGCAGGCCCGAGGGCGCGCCCGCCACGCTCACAGCACCACCGCCAACGTCGCCCCTCACTGTGCCTCTCACTGTCCTCTCCCTTCCTCTCCCCTCCCTACCGTCCCACACCCTGTCCACCCTCTTCTTGGCCCACAGCCCCTCTGTTCTGGGCTGGCTTTCTGCCCTCACTCAAGCCCTCACTCGGGATCCAGGGCTTTTCTCTCGCTTCTCAGATATTTTTGGGTGCGGGAGACGTGTGCCACCTACAGAGGCTCATTTGTCAAGCTCTCTCCTTCACCCCTTTCCGTCTGGAACAGCCCCCGACCCTGCCTGGAGGGGTCTCTGCGGGAAGGGCCGGAGCTGCCCGCAGGCCACAGGAGAGGGAGCTGGGAGGGGCAGGGACGCCCTGCTCAGCACCCCTTCTTCTTGGCCACCCTGGGCAGGACCAGCCGGCGGTGCGGGACCCTCGCTGTGGGTGAGGCTGGAGTCCCCTTAACAGCCTGATTTCCCAGGGACCTCGCTGTCCTCACCACGCGGGAGGCCTCCAGGCTTCTCCTCTGCTCTCGCTCCATTGGACAGAAAGGCCTGCGGACATGCCTCCGCCAAGCTGTCCCAGAGACCGAGGCCTGAGCAGGGAGGGACCTGCTGCAGGTCACAGAGCCATGCCCTCTATTCTCCTGGAGGCAGACGAGTACAGGCAGCCATTTCCCCACCACCCATCCCGGCCTCAGCCATAGTGAACACAAAGCAACATTCCCCACCACCCCTCCCGGCCTCAGCCACAGTGAACACAAAGCAACAGTAACCACGGCTATTGGTACCTGCAGTGCCAGGCCCTGCAGACCTCCGGCTGGTCTCCCCCTCAACCACTAGCCTCGTGGAGGCGGATGCACTGAGGCCCGGAGAGGTTAGGTGACACAGTGGTCGTCACGTGGCAGAGCTGGGCTGTGAGCCCGGGACTGGCCTGACAAGCCCCCTTCCTCTCTGGGCATAGAGAAGCCTTTAGGACAGTGACTCTCGTGTGAGGGTCTTTGACCCTGAAGGACATTTGGCGATGCCTGGAGACAGCTTTGCTTGTCACATGTGGCGGGTGATGCCCCCGGCACCCAGCAGGTAGGGGCCAGGAATGTAGTTCAACACCCACAGTGCCCTGAGCGGCACAGTGCCGGGGCGGAGAACCCCTGCCCAGGCCGGCTGCCCGGCTCTGGCAGGCAGTCCCTGGGCCTCCACCGGGGCCTGCCACCCTGGGGCTCGCCATCTGTGCGGGCCCTTGAGCTTCCAGGCCTCTGGCCTCTCCCAAGCCGCGGAGTCACTGTGCGCGTGACACGGAACAGTCATCGGCGTAGAAGGGGCATCGGGTGAGAGGGCATTGCTCATCGCCAGCCTGCCTCCGGGGCAGGGTGTCTGGGCTCAGAGCAGAGTTGGTGAGCTCCCAGGAGCAGGCAGAGGGGGCGGCGCATGGCCAGTGATGGGCAGTTCTGGACTTGAAGGGGAAAGACCAGCT